TGGGGGGGGGTGGGTAGTTTATTCAATAGACATAGTATGTTTGCACAATACCCACTTGGGTTAGCTAACTCTGAACTCCGAAGCCTAAGCCTCCTAAGCCTCATATAAATATCAGCTGCAAACATCAGAAAATTGTCACTTTCACTGGAAACAAAGGATTGTTTTTGCAGGCGAAGGAGGAGGAACAATTCATTATAGTACCCAAAAACTCTATCGATGTGCAAATGGGAATGTGCAGGATGTTTTGAGATAGAGGTGAAAAACTGTGAACCTGTCCTTAAAACTCAGGTCCAACAGACAGTTGACAGGTAAAAATGTAAAACACGAGTACGAATTAGCAACTTGCCAAAATAAACTTTATACCCAAGCTGTGATTTGTTACAGTTTCACACCAATGCATGAAGCCATTTTGTTCATTGGACACAGTACTCACCTGTAGATTTTTTCAGTTATTACTAAATACAGTGGACTTTGACTCCACATTGTTTCATAAGCTTAACATAAAGTGAACTTTAAATACTGGAATGTGGAAAGTGTGGAAGTTATGTTTTGAATAAACTTGTCCAGAGATGTTTTATTGAACATAGATGAAGTAAAACTACACAACAATAAACAGATGACCACTATCTTGAAATACGTTTTTGTGGTGGTGTTCACAGAAAGCTGACATTGAACATACAGCTGACGCAGCAGCCACAGCAAATGGTTCCGGTGACGCTGATCTCCATTCAGTCAAGAATGGTGAAAGACAAATGTGCAAACCAGACCCTGAAGGCTTGACAGTCCGCTCTGAGGAACCCTGCTATAACACGACGCAGGGTAATAGTTCTCCCATTTCATCAGTATAGGTTTCAGGCCAGCAGGCACATAGATCACTGACAAACAAGTAACAACACAGCTGAAGTAATACTGTAGAAAGACAAGCTGTCATAAATCTGTATAAAGGAGTTTGGAAATAATGTCAGACATTTGTAGCAAATGAGAGGAACCTTTTCTTATCAATTTCTGTTGAATTTACACAAGTGCTTCCAGAGAAACAGTCAGAACAGCCAGGGAGGAGAGTCATACACACTGAAACTCAGGGGCTGGTATTATCATTTATGAAGTGTTTTCATATGTCAAACATGTTCCTTAACTTACTGCTCAATGTTTGGTTTGTTTGTACATATTTTCAACTATGTATCTCTGGTTCCCTATTGCTATGTGCTGAAGTTTCACTTGTATTTTTTACTGATTTCTATCTTCTACAGTGTCAAGACACAGCACATCAAAACTGACATGGTCTGAGAATATGGACTTCAGTGACACACAAACCTACACTGTCAGTAATCTGGCAGGCTTAAAGAAATTCTTCAGTCAAGGACTTTACCTTAAGATAGAGGAGGAAAAGGTATAGAAAATGTAAGTGTGGGTAAATGTTTAGATGCAACATGTGCTGGGACTCATATTTTGGCTTTTGATATTGTAGGTCCTGTCATGGCCTGCAGCTTCTGAGGACCTTCCAGTGGCCAAACCCCGTCAGAACGTGAAAGAGAAGAAAGGCAAAGAAGTGAGTTTATCGCTTGGTTCCTACTGAGTCACAAACCTTTGGGTGTCACAGAAAAACAAGGATTAATGAGTTACTGGATCGGAAATCTTGGATTGTTCACTCACAGAATGGAGCAGAGCTCCTTGTTGCAGAGGCCATAATTACTGGAAATATTTGACAATTGATGTGCTAAAACATATATGTTATAGCAATTTAACATACAGCAGTTTACCATTAGACTGAACAATAACCACAAAGTGTGAGTTTGATTCCTGACACCCAGCAGTGTATCTGCATATGTCATAAAAATACACAAATTAATACCGAATTGTACAAAAATTGTTAGTAGGGGAGAGGGGGTCAGAGAAAGGAAAGGTTATTGTAATTATCTATTTGTTAAATATAGTGTAGTGACTTTTTGAGGAGAGAAGAGGAGGGTATTTATTTATTTTTTGTCCTATACTGTATTTATATTTATATTTCAAACTTTTGAAATATAGTTCCATGCCCTGGAGCGGATCTAGAAAATTTTGGACTGGGTGGCCAGAGACTCAGAGAGGGGTGGCACAATACATGTAAAAAGTAAATTTAAACCCCTAGTTCTATGAAATAATAAACCATACATTATTAAGAGTTTGTTTTGTGTAAAAATTTGCCAAATTGTGCTTTCTTTAGCTAACTCTGGCTGCGCCAGAGTTAAATGCTGTTTACCCATTATTTGGCCCCAAAGAGGGGTGTGTCAGGTCATGCCGTCATAAATCTTCAGAGCCCCACAATAAGTAACACCATTACCCAGACCTGACCTACCCTTTACACAAAGCATCCCTGAACCCGCTCCTCACCCAAGCAAAGAGCAGATATGTGGCTTGACACACAGCATCTGCATTGTATTTACTCAGGTTAAACAGTGGCTGGACCAACTGGCTTGTAATGGCAGTCACCTCCGCTTCGGCTCAGTTGTCCAAACACTGACAATGTTCTACCAAGATTATTGGTGTTGGTGGTGTTGCATCATTTTTCAAAGTTTAAAATGTAACAAAAACATAATAAAGGGAAGGGCTTGTGTTTTTGTAAAAAGAGAAAATATTGTTACTAATATTAAGTAATGAATGTACTTGGTTCCTGCAGTAAGTAAATGTGGTCAGTAACATGCAGAAATACCACAATTTAATGTATCGCTCTGAAAAGGTTATTTGTAATGCACTATTTAACCCTTAGTTTTACACGACATGTGTTATATAGCTGATAAGGCTGGTTATAAACTGGTCTGGTTTAAATCTACCAGTTTGTCACATCGGCCTTATGTGGAGGTTACTGTTTTGCCAGATAAAATTATCTGCATTTAAACATTTAATAATGTTGTGCTTTGGTATTCTCCTCAGTCTCCAATCAAATCTGGTTCCATCAAAGACAAGTCTAAAGGTAAAAAGAAGAAATCTCTACCATATCTGGTCCATGATGCCCCCATCCGAAGAATCCTCGGACCTGTCCACGCCCCCCTGCAAACCCTGGTCAAAGAAAGTCAAAAGGTCGACATCCTGTGTGACTTTGGCACCCTGCACACGGAGTCTGTGGTGGAGGCTAAGCAAGCACTTGAAAAGGCAGGTTTACACACCAAAGAGTTTACACAGCCAGGGCGTTTATATAGAACAATCGTTATCTGGTCAGTTTCACTGGATTCACTACAAACACTCCTGAACCATATTTATACAATGTCCAAAAGAGAGAGAATGACTATAAAAAGCAACAACCACTAGCAACACATGCCAACAAGATAAGATGTTACACTGAGATGTGGACTTATTTCATGTGTGTGTGTTTTTCACTCATCTTTAGGATCTGGGGAAGAAAATCAAAAAGGATAAAAAGAAGGATGACAAGGAATCAAAGGGGAGAGGAGGCAGCGATCCAGGACAGAAGAATACAGCATCTTCAGAAGGTTCAATCTGGACACAAGCATCCGTTATTTTTTCCAGTTAAAAACTGCATACTGAACAGAGATGAATTTTAAAATGGTTGACACAAATACAGTAAATACTATTAAATACAGAATATTAGCAAAAAGCATGACACCTCACCACAAAGATTTGCCTCATTATATACAGTGAGGAACAGAAGTATTTGAACACCCTGCGATTTTGCAAGTTCTCCCACTTAGAAATCATGGAGGGGTCTGAAATTCACATTGTAGGTGCATTCCCACTCGGAGAGACAGAATTAAAAAAAAATTCAGGAAATCACATTATATGATTTTTAAAGAATTTATTTGTCTTGCACTGCTGAATATAAGTATTTGAACACCTGAGAAACAGCAAGAATTCTGGCTCTCAAAGACCTGTTACTGTGCCTTGAAAAAGTCCACCTCTACTCCACTCATTAATCTAAATTAGTAGCACCTGTCTGAGCTCTTTAAAGACACCTGTCC